GATATAATTTGGGTGCAGTGCCAAAATGCATGACTTTTGTTTAATATAAGAAGAAATTAGGGTGCACAAATCTTACAAGGTCTATATTAAGATTGGAATATAGAAGAGTAGATCAAAAATTTAATGATTGGAGCCCTCAAAAAGGATCAATTGAAGGAAGCTAAAGAATAGAAAGCAAAAGAAAAGGCTCTAAGTCAAGTAAGTTCTATACATGAAAATATTCTTAAAAAAGAACTTTTGAAGAATTACAAGAAATAATTCTCAAACTTGGATGCTTTGAACTATACCATCAAGACAAACCACCCAATATATGAAAAATCTTTAGAAAGAAGTTTTAGTAAACATAAGAAGGAATAATTTATAAAGGTGATAAGAAGACAAATATTAAACAATTCCATTACTATCTTGCTTGCACAACTACTAAATATGGCTTCAAATATTATGGATTATGTCAAGGCTTATATATTTCTAAAATAAAAGACTAATATAAGTTTGAATTTAGACCTAATGCAAACAACAAAGTTTAAAGCAAGTTTGTTAGGTAAGAAAAAACAGTGATTAATTTGGCAATAGATGTTAACCAAGAACTAAATGTATTATCAATGCAGGATGGCAACAAGACCTAGAACAACATGTTGTTTGATGGTGAGTCAAGTGTTAATTTGATCACTAAAAGGATCAATTAAAATGATCTATAATGAAAAGATTTATATACATGATATTTATTACCTAATCACTTTGATTGTAATTAAGAAAAAAGAGGTAAATGAGGCATATAATATGCTATTAGATTATCCTTGGTTGATTGATGTAAAGATTAACCAAAATTGGAACAACAACTTGGTGACCATCTATGGCAACAAAACAATAAAAATTGTCTTAATTAGCCAAAAGAAGAGGCTTGAGCCTAAGTTGTCAGAGATACTCGTGTGTTACAACTTTGTTGTAGGATTCATAGATGAAGAAGAAGAATTTTGTTAACTATCAAATAAGACAAGTTGGTTAGTAGAACAATGACAATGTCCTCAATGGGTAGAAACCAAGAGCCAATGGAGGAAGTAGAATAGACCTATCCAAACCAATTCTATATTTTTACACAAGGAGATATGTGATACTTGAATCCTAATCTTTCTTGTTATTTTACCTCATATTTTTATTTTTGTTGGATTTTTATTTTATTTAAGTAGCAGTGATAAACATTAAGTTGGAAGTTTAATAGAAAAAATAGATTAAATGGTTTATGTAGACTACATTAGGGTGTACTAATAAGAACATAGAATCAATGTGGATTCCATTGATTAGGCATTAGCGATTAAAGAAGGTAACAAGCCTCTATGTAAAAAATGCCAAGAAACAACGTACAATATCTACATAAGCAACATACCTTGAGGGCAACGACCAATAGACAAGATAGATTGCAAAGCAAGAAACCATGATGAACACCTCAAACACATCCATCTTGTTTGAGTGGTTCATCAAAGAGAAAGTGGAGAAGGTAGATTGCTTGATGTCGTCATTTTAATAAGAAAATCGTAAGTCATTCAAATCTTTATTAAAGAGTTGTTCACTTTGAAGGAGATAATTTCAACGCTAATATTATGAATTAATGAACTGCCAAATTAAAGAAGGCAAGGAGAGAAAAAAATTTCAAGGACAAGAAAGTTTTATAGAAGTAAATGAAGATTAAAGCAAAAGAAAAAATAGAAATGTTTCTACTATTGCTGACAAATATTAGCTCGTCACTGATTACAACTACCATCAACATATTGAATTATTGTGACACAACTCTAGAGGTTAAAGAGCCTTGCTTGAGTATGCAAGTTAGGTGTACAATTGGTCTAGAGAATGTGTTGCAAGATGCAAAGTTATCAAATGTTGATCAAAACAAGATGATTCTTGAGGTGGTTTGATAAAAACACTTGCAATGTAGGAATAGAAGAAGGTCACACAAAAGACTCTAAATACAATATTATCCACTATAGCCCATAGTAATATGATTAGAAGGTGAGAGCAACATTGCCCTATAAGATGAAGCTCCCCTACATTTGGGCTCAAAGACGCTATAGCTTATGAAAACAAATAACACTCCAAACAACATAACATCCTCAACATTGGAAACAAAAGTACACTTGATTGTTGCCAATAGCCCAATAAGTATGGAGATCAATGTATTGCAAGGACATACAAGTTCAAAAGAACAAAGTTATCAAGAACTCCTAATTGTAAAACAAACCACCAACTTCCAAAGAAATATCATGTTATTGTAGTAACAAATATATCATAGAATATAAAAATGTAAGCTAAATTTAATCTATTAGATAGTTCAACATAGAAGAATCCTATTAAACTTGAATATGCTTCATTTTTTGTTTATTCAATATTCTAATTAACTTACATCTATAGAGTCACAATGCAAAAGACATTGTTTCAAATAAACAATCAACTTTAATTTTTATGCTAATTATAAAGAGGGTCCGACTAAAATAATTACCAATATTTAAAAAATGTGAGTGAAAGAAAATTAAGTAAAAAAAAATAATTACTTTCTTGTTCAAAATCTAGCCATTGTTTTAGAAAGCGCTTAATTCTAACTCTAGCAATAAATGAAAAACCTATTCCAAAATCCAAATATCTATCCTATGAAAATATAAATTTGACTTTGGTACTTACAATAATTTGAACTCAAATATCTAATCTAATGCACTTCAATCAAGCCTTTAAAACTTAGTGGTTTTGTCCAATCTAAAGACTGGTAATTTTTATATAAAAAAATCAAAAAATCAAAAAATAAAACAAACAAAACCGAAATATAAGATCATAACTAAATTAGCACTAAGAAAATAATGTTATTAAAACTAAAACAATCTATCCACAAAACTTGCATTTCTTATCAATTCTTACATGTCCGATTAATAAATTATATCCACATATCATACTTCTCTCATTTTCATATGCGATTGTAGGTGGACACCTATTTCCAACAAGTTTTGTGATACTTTATTGACAAATTCTAAACAAGATAAAGCTTGTGTGTGCATAATGTACATATATACACAATAAATTTTCAATGGCATGTTACAATTTTATATATATATATATATATATATATATCTTCTACTTTTCTAACTTTAAATCATTTTATTATGTGGTATTAAGAATATGCTCTATAAATGATATTAATAGCTATATACCTCCTCAATTTTTCCATGCACATATCAAAACAATTAGAAATGTAATGGTGCTAACAATTAGTAGGCTTTTGAGCTCTATTATATGTCTCATAAATATATATATCTATAATTATATTTAATGCACATAAACTTTACTACTTTATCTTGTACAAAAATATTTCAACAACTTCTAACAAGATTCCATTAAAAATCCCAATGCATAACTTTGTAGAATTTTCAATTAAAACTAGATGATCTAATTCACTACAAAATAAAATAAAAAGTTGGATTTAGTTGGGAGCCTTGGAAATAAAACATAGCAGTTTCTTTTAATGAAATGAATCATCCAAGGCTATGCTTGTACTCAACAGACATGCAACAGTACTCCCTCCCTCATATCTACAAGACAAAATGAACAAAGAACACCATACTCCTTCAACAAACATATACAAAACTTTAGAACACATCGCTTGAACATACATACTAGCCAAAAAAAAATGCCAATTATTGTTGAAGAAGTGATGAACTTCAAAATGATCATAAAAATGATGTAGTGGTAAGAGCCTTCAATTACACACTTGACATGTCAACAATACTCCACAACAATCACTTAAACATCCTCCCCCTTCATCTTCATGATTGCAACATCACCTACTGATTTCAATGATATGAATGATATGGAATACCAATATCTTAAACAATTCAATCATTGTGAATAAGGTTCCAAATACACAAGCTAATGTTTGAATGTGGTACAGAACTCCTTTGTAGTAGCATTAACAAGGTGATCCACCGACCACTACAAAAGCGCCAAGTCTAAAGAATAAGATACTATTCTTGTGGTGATAGCCACCTCTCTGGTGAACTGGATACACCTAAAAGAGTGACGAGACTGAGTGGTACCACAGCATTGTTTTGCCGTACCCCCTGACTGCCCATACATTTGTATTCTGGCATTTCACAACTGCTTCCACAAACTAAATGTATCGTCTTGTGCACCGAAGATGCGCGACATAGTGGGTGAGGTGCTCTGAGGACTGATTCCTCGGTCTTTCAGGACGACCCAAACTAAACCGCACTCCAACACCTTGAAAACACACCCGACAGCTAGACCATGCGTTCTCAGGCCGCAGCAGATGACACTCTTCTGTCGGACTTCGGAGACGGAGGAAACAGGAAAAACCAGATCATTAGAAGAAAATACCGAAATGTTGCGTTGGCCCTCACGTAGGATGTAGTTGCAATTGGACCGTCCATCCAGATGCTCAAAATACTGCAAATCCGATTTCGACCAATGTTGTCTTCCCCGAACCTGCAGTGCTACGATCCTCGTTACAAATGACCGCCTTGCCAATGTTCCAAACCTAGCTCCTTTCCCAACCAATTGGTTGTATCCCACTAGAGGTTGGGCGTTCGGAGGAACTCACCGCACAGGTCTTCTGTTGTGCAGCAATACGAACCACTTTGAGTAAGACATAAGTGCATAGCTGTGATCCTGAAGATGGCGCACAGCCAATATACTTCTGCCCCGTCCAGCGGTACTGCCATCGCAGTTACCCGCAAGGTGAACACGTGAGGTGAGCTAATTACACGTCCAAACCACCCGCGTAGTGATTGAGTAATGGAAGAAGGACCGAACTCGGGGTGGGATGTTGCAATTACAAGATTTGTCAAATTGCAATCGTACTACCATTCAGAACAAGAAATCCTCACAAATACAATCCCAGCGAAAGGACTATTAGTCTTGGAACCTAGGGAAAGACCTCCAACATCATCCACACCGCAAGATTTTATTATAACCTTCACGAGGCCGATATCCTCGCCAAAGAAAACGTTAAAAAAAATATATAAAAATAATGTAAATTCAAACAGCAATTGTGTGAATGTCGAGCGCACAGACAAACCTCATAACACTGGAAGTGCACATCCGATTCAACCCATTCAAGTTGAATCGCAGATCAACAGGTTCAAAACATGCCCCCACGATCGTCGCACCCAGGATCATGCATGGAAAATGTGGAACCCAGCACACACCGGGCATGCGCCACCAAAATAGACGAACTTCTTAAAAAATTGTGCACAAAGCGCCACCCTGCGAGCTCTAGAACGCCCCTGCTACCCTGCTTGGAATCGGACCGTGCCCACAAATTCATGAATTCGCTCCACTTACTCTCACTAGATAATCTGCAAATCGCGTCTAGCAAGTGCCCTCATCGGCTGCCTGGCCCTGTGGAATACAGTCTGGTTAGGTTCTAAGTAGTCGCCTCGCGGGCAACTCTAGGTACTTGGCACACACACAACAAGCACCACTCTAGCCAGAGCCCACAACTTCCTGCGGGGGAAAATTCGATCCCCACCCTAGTCACACTTGATGTTCCTATATATACGTCGCACAAACATCGACGACCCCAGGTACCCCACAGCTCCTGCCAGCCGCCACAAACAGCACACCCGTCAGACCCTCCACTCCACTCAACCGCCTCACAACCCATCAACCAAATATTACGCACTACCCCAGGATACCCACCCACGCCTGCCCAGTCCCACTTACCACAGAATATGCCCAACCCCAGGCAGAACATCAGCGTGTACCCGAAGTAGAAACTGATCTGGAAAAACCCGGACATCTTCGTCTTCATGTAGAAGTAGTACACCGAGTACAGGTACACGTATCCCGCTGTCGACGCCGCCGACAAAAACGACGTCCACTGCCAGTGATAGTTCTCCGCATTCAGCAAGAAATACGTCCCCACGATCGTCACGCACACCGTCACGATCGTCAAGATGATGAACACCAGCAGCATGAATCCGTACACGTAGTACACCTACACAAACGCCACACATCAAAACTATCACAAGTTAGAATATCTCCCACACGCAGCAACCAACGCCCTTGCATCGCAACAACCAGTGCCACGCATCCTCCCATCCCATTGCCCTCAAACACGTCTCCATCAACCCAAAGCCCCATGCACTCTGCTCAACCAACACACACTTCCGACCCTGCCACCCGCTCCCTCCAACCTCCACCCACCTTGTACTGCCAGAACGACGTGAACACAAAGTACATCTCGATGAAGATGCTCCCGAACGGCAACAACCCTCCCAGCAGTGCCACCACCGAAGGCTTCAAGTACCACTTCTTCTCTGGAATCGGCCGCGGAATCGTCTTCACCCTGCACGGGTTGTCCGGTTGCCCACTCCAGTTCCGCCCCACCACCGTCCCGAACAGAGCCAGCGGGAATGAAATAAACGCCCAGATCACAAAAACCACCACCTGCCACCCACCACGCTCCCCTCACTCAGAATCCAATTGCATTCCCTAGGCACCACACCAAAGCATCGCTGCTGCCTCTCTGACCAGAAACAATCCTGCCTCGCCTCATCTAACAACGACGCCTCACGCCCATCCCCCTCCCTAAGCTGCAACCGCACCACGATGCAAATGCCTCACCATCGTGCCGAACGGAATGGCCGCCAGCGAATGATAGTAGATCGCCACGAAGTTCAGCAGGAAACCGATGCCGAAGCACAGGAATGGGAACAACGACGCCGTCAGCAGCATCGACTTGATCCAGTGCTTTCCTGCACCAACGTCACATACCCGGCATCAAGCGTACGCAAGCATCCAACGTCCAAACCCATCCATAATTCCAACCATTCCTACCCATACCACACCACCCCCTCCCCAAAACCACCGCCACTTCCTCACATGGGTACAGGTACGCACCATCATTGCGCGAGTAGAACCCTCCACTCACGTATCCCGCGATGAACGACGTCAGCGCGTAGCACACGATGAATGTCGTCACAATAGCTCCACGCCTGCAACCAAGCATGCACACCCCCACCCGCCCGTTCACACCACCATTCTCGCCACCAAAACGAACCCAATCATCCCTCGCATACGACCACCACTGCAACCACTACACCTCCCGAGCCACGACTCGTCTCTCCGACCAATAGAACGGTAACACCCTCTTCAGTGCGGCAACCGCTTCCCGCAGCTCAAAACACCCACATCACATAAGCCCTCAACGGGCCTCCTCACATCGAGTACACCATTTCGTCTCCCTCTCCGTCACCATCTCATCCCCCAAACACCAACACAAACCCGCATCCACTTACCCAACATACAGCATCCCCACGATCGCTAACAGGATCACCAGCAGCATCAACATCGCCAGCTGAGCGCCCGTCCCCACCAATGCCGACAGCAGCACCAGGTTCCGAGGCGCCCGGAAAACGTCTCCATGCACCAGTTTCCATCCCGACTCCTCGCTCACGTCCCGCTCCTGCCCAACCACCACCACAACACCCCCTCGTTCCATTATCCAATACCGCCTACCCCAACGTCCACCAGCATCATCATCATCATCATCGACTCCCTGCACTCACCAGCGTCTCCAAGTCGTCCTCCTCGCGTGCATACTTCGCATAATCGTTGCGGAGGGTGCGCATCAGAATCATCGATACCAGCCCCGTCAGAAATATCACCATCATGAACGAGTTGAAGATAGAGAACCAATGTATCTGTCATCGCGGCCGCCACCCAACATCAACCACAAACCAAACACCCCCACACGTCAAACTCGCGACTCGTCCCATTCACCATCCCATGAACCTCCAACACACCACTAACTCGCATGTAGCTTCAAGCTCCCGTCTCCACCCACACTCGCTACACAAATCTTGCAACTCAGCCCTCCGCTCCCTCCTCACACCCACCTGGTGCTCAAAGAACGGGTAATCCAGGTACGCGTCGAATCGTCGGATGAACGATATGTTGGTCTCCACCCACTGCACTGCGTACGTCAGGTCGATCTTTTTCCCAGAAATCAGGGGCTGCAGGTTGTCTTGGGTCAGGTTCACTTGAATGATCTGCCCCCGCCCACCCCACCGCACGCCACCTTAGTCCATGCCACCCCCGCGCAACCACTCACCAACCCTCGTAACCAAACACCCCCACCCTGCAAACCCGTACTCAAAAACTCATACCTGGTCGTTGTTATACTTAATCAACAGGTCCTTGTGTGTGTAGATCGTGTACTTCTCGTCGTCATTCTTGTCCGCATGCTGCTCTCCCACGAACCCTGCACTCCCCCACAAACACCCCAACCATGACATCTCATTTCTCGCCCCCACACCCACACCCCCTCCCGCTCACTGCCATACACGCATGAAATTCCAACGTTTCTTGCCCCAACATACAGCACACGTATAGCACTTCGAAACCACGTCAGACACACAACTCCCGTATGAATTGCAAATCCCGCATATGATACCAACATCCACACACCCTGCCAGGCACTGTCCAACACCAAACCACAACCAACTGTGCCAAAAGGATCGGCCATCACGCACCCCAAAGTGGAAGATCGTCTGCAAAACCCACCCACAACACGAAACGAACACACATTCCACTGTCAGAAACCATTCCAACAATGCCATTGCAGCATCCTATCCACCTCAACGGTCGCCTCGCAACTCAGAACTCCACTTCGCAATCAACTAATTCACACCTAGCTCTCTCTCCCTCCCTCCATCCACATTCCAAGAGCCACTCCATGCTCTACTCGAGACTCACAAACACACTACTGCCAGTCACCTCATCAACACCTTCACGTTACATCCAAGCGTCTGCATCCCCACACATTCTGGACTTCACAACTTACCCATGAAGAACTCGAACCAGTAAGCTTGTGCCACAGCAGATCTGAATGCAGCTACCGACGTGCCGTCCAATGTGAAGCTGCATATCGTCCTCTTCTCCACGGGTGCTGCATCGCGAAACCCACGTCAGTCATCGAGTGACATCACTGCAGCACTAATTACCTCCGCCCATCACTGGTTTTGGCACCCCCAACCAAAAACCCTGCCGGACCATGCACTAAATTTCACACTTCATCGTCCGCCCGAACAGGTGCACAAACTACAACCTTCTGCCCACCCCCGTCCCACTCCACACCTCAGCCCACGCAGCTCAAAGCAACACACTCACTCTTGAACTTGATCTCGACCTCGCTGTCGATCAGCTCGTTCCCTTCCAGCACTTCGCCCAGCCCTCCCCATTTGTGTCGAGCATTGCCAGCCGCACCCGGACTGCAAAACGGCAGACTGTAGTAGTTGTACGTCTCTTGCGGATTGTTGTAAGGCCCCACTTTGTTCACCCACAGCATCACCGGATCCCCTTTGCCATACTGCACACTCACAACACACGGACCTCACCCATCACAACCGCGGCCCAGTTCGTCATCACAAAGCCATGTGCAGGTGCTGACATGGCACCCCGATCGTTCCCCAGCCCTCTGCTCGCAAGGGTCACGATCCAGGCACCCGCCCTGCCACAGTGACAACCGCGATGAATGTGTCCAATAAGGCATGCACCGCGGATTTCGACGCCACCCTTACCCTTGCTCCTCGACCTACATTTTGCGCTTCGAGCTTCCTAGGGCGATCGACGCCCTAAATGCCAACATTCTTCACGGCAATCATGACACCAACATGAACACAGTAGCGTTCTCATCAATACCGAGTTCTGCCAGGCGACGATCCGTGAAGAGCACGTGTAAGCAGCGAACACACCTTTTCCGTTCCTATACCGGAGCTCTGGCCAAAGCAGACGCATACATTACGGATCACGGGGCACGCCAACCCACCCTTGTGGACCTACTGCCCTCCATCCCAAAACTAAAATGCCGTGCAGTCCATCGCTTCCTCGAAACTAAAATCGGAGGCCACTCAGCACATCACTCTCTCGTCCGAAGTGCGCCTAGTCCGCGCCGGAGAGGACGAGGACGACGCCTCACATAATTGAGCAGGGTTCGACGCTTCTCGTGCTCATGCTACCGACACTGGATCACGTCCGCAAACAACTGTGCCGACCTAATTCACAGTGGTCCTCGCACCTGGACACGCTGATGCGTCGTGAAGCACACAGCCCACGGACCCTTGATGGGGGAAGTGAAATTATAACTCCCCCAAAAAACGGGGAAGTTGAAATCATGAGGGGGAGCGAGCTCATGGCGGCGAAGAGCAAGCAACCTACGGGGCAGACATGTGGAGAGAGATGGGACATACCCTGTGGTCGTACTCGTTGGCACTGCACAGCTGAAGCAAAACCAGCGCACACGCAACCCCCAACAGGCCAACCCTATTGAGGGTCCACATTTTGCACCCTCCTCCCCTCTCCCAGGTCGCCTCAACCCCGAGTGGCTCCGGTGCCAAAATTCCTCCCCCTGCGTCGTTCCTTTCCGGCGGTAGTACCCGCCACCACTGATGTTGCTCCCGATCTCAAAGAGCACCACTTGTGCCAGCCTCTCGTTCTTGTTCTGCGCTGTCAAAAATGTGAACGATTTCCGGCAGAGCGAACCCGCAATGCCAGAGCTCAAGAGCGCAGCGCCCCACAGCCTCGACGCTGCCTCCCGCAACGCGTCGTCCACATCAGATCGTCGGACTACCAAAACCCTGAACGAGGCTCGTGAAATCGACCAGTCTGAGTGGCAGCAGCAGATTCAACTGCACCGCTCGCACCTTCACTTTTTTACCTTCAGATCTGATATCTACAAGGAAGCTGTCTTCGAGAGACAAACTCGTCGATCGCGAGACCTCGGGGTCATGAGCTCGCAGACGACCCTAAACATGGGCAAACTTGGGTTGGGGTCGTGGGGCATTGCCATAATTCTCCGGTCATCCCGCTGCCCTCTCACCTGCTGTGCCGGTGGTGATCATCGCAAGACCGCCTTGTTTGATGCTCTCATCCCTGCTGTTCTCCCCCATTTCCAAGGAACGACTAGGAAATTCTACTTAATAGCTTTTTATTCTAAGAAATTTTTGGCAATTGAGATCAACTTACAAGATCCACAATAAATAGCTTCTTGCAATTGTGGATTTATTTTAAGAATAGAGTTATTACTTAGAGGGCACTTTTAATCTAATCACTATAGATATGGATGATAAGAATCTTGAATATTTCATAGCAATACGTTTTTTGAATCATTGTTAGGCCTGTTGGAGCATGTCTTTATAAAGATTTGATTTTAAGATTACTTATCGAATAAAAATACAACAAGATTTATTAGATGTTCAAATCTTGCATCTAAAGGAGGAGATGTAGCTTTTGATCAACAAAGAACAACTTTCTTGAAGTTTTTAGTCTTATGATACTTCTAAATTTGAACTTAAAAATAATTTATTTTATTTCAAGAAACACTTATATATTTTAAAAATAAAGCATAGGATTCAAATATCACCAAGATTCTTCCTTATTTGATTTAAGAATTTTAGCTTGATTATTAAATCAAAAGTTTGTTCAAAGACAAAACAATCTCTTATGAAGAAAACTAGTATTATTCATGTAGAAGTCATAGATAGTTGTCTATTGGCTTCTAGAGATGTTATTAATGAAATCCATCCTACAATTGTTATAATTAATGGTTATAGTTATTTTGTGATATTTAATTTGATTAGAAATCTTTGTAATCTTGTAATTTTAGATTTATCATTTTAAAATAAGTATAATCTTTGAGTAAATTGGATTCCTTCTAGTCTTGATTTTATTTAGACTATAACTATGAGTTTTGCCAATTAAGTAGATAGTCAAAAGTCTAGTACAATCAAATCAATATTTGTAGGCACATGAACTTTTTTTGCATATTGCAATGGAAGAATCACCTTGTGTTATTTGTCCCACATGTGTTTCTAATGGTGGAAAGACTTTTAGTTGCATTCTAAGCTAATATCAAAATTATCAAGATGTTTTTGAGAAGGAAGATGCAAATATTCTTATAGAGCATTGTTTATATGATTGCTAAATTGATCTTTAAGTGTCACGGACATACATATAATTACCTATATGAATAGATAAAAGTATGTAAAAGTAGATAAAAGTAGGTTAATTGTGTAATATCTTCTAGAGAAGCTTCTTAGAAGCTTCATAGACGCTGCTTTGACTTTATAGGAGTCTATAGTTGACTTTTAGGTTAGAAACTTGGTCAACAAGTTAGCCATGTGCCACACATGTTGGAAGCTTAAAGAACAAGCTAACTACGTGGTCCATCCATAGAAAACTTGCCTTGCAAGCAAAGGCATGTGGCCTAGAAAGTCAACATATATTGGAGGTCTTATAGAACATCGCCACGTGGCTTCTAGTTAGATAGTATATATAGAGGCAAGAGTGAAGCCCTCTTCACTCTTGTCAACTCCTTTCTTGCTTCTAGTCTAGTTTCAAGGGTCTCTAGTTTTCTTGTATTTTGGCAATAGCCATTCCAGTTTCTTTCTTAATATACATATTTCTATTTTGTCCTATTTCTTTTTGAGAAAAGTCTCACTTACTCTTTAGCTTTCATCGAGTTCTTGTCCTTGACAGATTGACAAGAGTACACTTACAATATCAAAGCTTTGTCTTTTCTTGATTAAGAGTGGGTTACCCCTTTTTCTTGATAAGACATAAGCGCATTAGAAGTTGCGGATTACCCTCTTTTAAACTGATATTGTTCTTAGTATTTTCTTTGTTATCAATTCCTCTCTTCTATTTTGAGCGTTATTAGACATCTTCTCTTTTCTAAATGCTACTATGGCAGAGCTTGTTGAAATGAAGAGTGCAATGGCACAGATGCAAGAACAATTGAGGGAGTTAATGCTTGCGATGCATCAACTCAATTTACCACCACAAGGAGCAACAAGAATGGTAGGAAGTGAAGATATAGAGATGATTGGGGCTGCTTCAACATCTGCACCAAACCATGTCCCTTCTCCCAGAATGGAACACCCTTCGAGTGTTAGAGAACCGAGAGTTGCCTTGCCCGAGAAGTTTGATGGTACCAGATCCAAGTTTCGAGGATTCATCAATCAAGTCCAACTACTGATTGAACTTCAACCCCAGAGCTATCCAACTCCAGGGTCACAAGTTAGATTCATTGGTACACTTCTTTCAGGTTCAGCATTGTCATGGTTTTCATCTTTTCTTGAACGACGAGATCCAATATTGGATAATCTGGAGGCTTTTTTGGCGGAGTTTCGATCCATGTTTGGAGAACATGATGCAATTCGTGTTGCAACCAACAAGATCCGTATTTTGCGACAAGGCAATCGATCAGTAACATTATATGCTTCGCAATTTCGACAACTTACAACTGATATCAAGTGGGATGATGCCGCACTTGTGAGTCAATTTCTCTACGGATTACAATATGAGGTAAAGAAATTGATGCTTAATTTACCTGATCCTCAAACATTGAGTCAAGCAATTGACTTTGCTGTGAAGTGCGACAATCGACTTTTTGAATTTCGATCCGAGAGTCGCACAAGTGGGCCTCAACGTTACTACAATTCAATGGCAACACCGACGTCTCCTCAACACATACCTTCAGAAGTAGAGGATATGCAAATTGATGCGGTACGTTTCAAACCTCTTACTGAGCAAGAAAAGTCTCGTCGTCGACAAGAAGGATTGTGCTTATATTGTGGAGAACCTAAGCACACTGCTCAACATTGTCCAAAGAAGTGACGCAACTACAAAATGAGGAGTACGGCTGTCAAAGAAGACAGTATGTCGGAAAATGAGTACGTCCAGCTACAATAGGGACCGTGCGGCTGAAATCTTGTACAACTTCTAATGAAGGTCCTATCCTCTCCTCAGAACCATCTCCTTGTTTTATAATAGATGTGCGTTTAGGACCTAATAATTACAAAGCCTCTGCCTTGGTAGATTCAGGAGCCTCATCTTGTTTTTTAGATGAAGAATTTGCTAGATGTCATAGAATATCATTAATACAAAAAACTAAACCTGTACACGTAGAAGTCATAGATGGTCGTCCGTTGTCTTCTGGAGATGTAACTCACGAAACACTTCCTGTAGATGTAGTAATAAATGGTCATAGTAGTTGCGTAATTTTTAATATAATTAGATCTCCCTCTAATCCAGTTATTTTAGGCTTATCATGGTTAGAAAAGTATAATCCTCGAATAGATTGGATTTCTCGTAAACTTGATTTTCCTCAGAGCATTAGTAACAGTTCTATTAATCAAGTAAAAAATCATGAGTCTAGTATAGTAAAACCTGCACTTATAGGTGCAAAAGCATTTATACACGCAGCAAAAGAAGGATCAACTTTTGCTATTTATGCTGCACCTATTTCTGAAAGCGTAAAGACTTCAAGTAGCATTCCAAGTCAATATCAGGATTATCAAGACGTTTTTGAGAAAAAGAATGCAGATATTCTTCCTGAGCATCGCCCATACGATTGTTCAATCGATTTCAAGGAAGGAACTCTGCCACCATTTGGACCAATTTACAGTTTATCGCAAGATGAGTTGGCTGAACTCAAGACATATATTGACGAGAATTTAGCAAAGAATTTCATACGCCATTCAAAATCTCCAGCAGGAGCTCCAATTTTATTCGTAAAGAAAAAAGATGGATCTTTACGAATGTGTGTTGACTATCGAGGACTCAACAAGATCACAATCAAGAACAGGTATCCATTACCTTTGATATCAGGACTCCTTGACCAGTTAAATCAAGCTAAGATCTATACAAAAATAGATCTAAGAGGAGCATATAATCTAGTACGGATCAAAGAAGGAGATGAATGGAAGACTGCGTTTCAAACCAGGTACGGGCATTTTGAATATAATGTCATGCCTTTTGGACTCACGAATGCACCAGCTGCTTTTCAACATCTCATGAATGATGTATTTCGTGAATTCTTAGACAATTTTGTCGTCTGCTATCTAGACGATATCCTGATCTATTCTAAGAACGTCGAAGAATATGAAATACATGTTCGTCAAGTATTACAAAAACTTAGAGATGCAGGATTGTACGCCAAGATAGAAAAGTGTGTATTTCACACTACTCAAGTTGACTTTTTAGGATACATCATTTCAAATGATGGTCTCATGATGGATTCTAAGAAAGTCCAAACAATCATGGATTGGAAGATTCCAAGGACAGTAAGAGATGTCCAATGTTTCTTGGGATTTGCCAATTACTATCGGATCTTCATCAAAGATTTCTCACGAGTTGCAGCTCCACTTACACGCTTGACTAGTAAAGATAAATTCCAATGGAATCAAGAAGCGGAAGCAGCATTTGAAGCCTTGAAGACATCGTTTGTCTCTGCACCAGTCTTATATCGTGTTGACTTTTCCAAGGTATTTTTTATGGAAACAGACGCATCGGATTTTGCCTTGGGTGCAGTTTTATCACAAATGGGAACAGATGACAAACTTCATCCGATAGCTTTTCATTCAAGAAAATTCTCAGCAGCCGAGATCAATTATGAGATCCACGATAAAGAACTTCTTGCAATCGTGGATTCCTTTCAAGAATGGCGTCATTATTTAGAAGGTGCTTCTAGTCCAGTCAATGTGTATACAGATCACAAGAACCTCGAGTATTTCATGTCAGCACGCGTGTTGAATCGTCGTCAAGCTCGTTGGAGTATGTCTTTGTCAAGATTCGACTTCATTATCACTTATCGGCCAGGAAAACAACAAGGTTTGTCCAATGCCCTGTCTAGACGTTCTTATTTTGCACCAAAAGAAGGAGATGCAGCTTTTGAGCAACAAAGAACGGTCCTCTTGAAACCGGAGCAATTTCATCTCCGAGCAGTGAAATCAACATTGACTGTTGATT